TACACCAGTTCTTTCATCCTAATAGTCTTGCTCTGTCTCAATTCGTAAAAGCTCACTTGCAGCCCACTGCTGAGGACTTACAGTTCTTAAGAACTATTACTGCCTCTTGTGAGATCTGCCAAAAAACAGACCCCAATACCAAGTACAGGAGTCAGCCTTTTCCCACCCACCAGGCTAGAGGTTCCCTTCCAGGGACTGACTGGCAGCTCAATTTTACCCATATGCCCACTGTCAGGAAAGTTAAATATCTCCTCGTGATGGTGGACTCATTTTCAGAATAGGTGAAGGCATACCCGGTTTCTAATAAGTGGGCTCAGACAGTTGCAGACCTCCTTCTCCAAGAAATTATTCCTCGGTTTGGGGTTCCTGCTTCCCTTCAGTCTGACAATGGCCCAGAGTTTACCTCTCATATTTCCCAGACACTAGCTAAGGCTCTTAATATTCCTTGGGATTTTTATATCCCATACCATCCTCAATCCTCAGGAAAGGTGGAGTGTACCAACCAGTCTTTAAAAACTATTCTTACTAAGATGTCACAGGAACTTCACCTTGACTGGGTAAGATTATTGCCTCTAGCTCTTCTCAGGCTCAAGGCTCTTCCTAAAAAGCCTATTTCAATCTTTCCATTTGAACTAATGTATGGAAGGCCAGTTCTAATACCAGATCTTGTATCCAACCCTCCAACTGTTCCAGATAGCCTGTTAACCCCCCTGCTATGTTGCCTAGGGTCTATCCTGTGGAACTTCACAGACCATTCCTTACCTCAGCAATGTGACAGTCCTTGCTCACCCCCAATCCACATCAGGGATCAGGTTCTTCTCTTTCCTCCAGGCCAGCACACTTCACCCCCTTCCCCTAAGTGGCAGGGACCCTTCAAGGTAATTCTTGTGACTCTTACAGCTGCTAAACTCTAGGGCTTTCTTCACTGGGTCCACCTGTCTCATCTAAAACCTTTTATCTCACCTCCATCCCAGAATCTCTCTTCATATACAGTGAAACAAACAGGGCCTCTCACTCTCAAGCTCCAGAGGACATCAGGATCCACTGCCTTGTCACCGATTCCAGAGGAATAAGGTATAACCCTTTCCTTTCCCAACTAGGGCCACACAGAGCTGGAGGCAAAAGGACCATCAGAAATATCCAGGTGGTAAGGGAAAATGTAATGTAACAGTCTATCATTGTTAAATATTCAGCAACTGATCACGTGCATTTCCTGAATGCTAAACTTATTAGTTTAGGAAATAGGCACCTTAAATAAACTACCTCTAATAAAGCTTGTCTCAGGTAAAAATTAAGCAGAGTACTAAAACACAATAATAATCATTAATTCTCTCACAGCCACCTTTTTAACATGTCTCCATCTGGACAGGCCAGATCTACCTCAGATAAATGTCAACTCCAAAAAATAAAATAATA